TTTCAAAGGAAAAACTGAGGGCTGAGAAAAGTCCTCTGGAACTTTTCAAGAACCCTGAATTCCACAGCTAGACTGTCTCACCTTGGACTTTCTGGTTTTTGATCTAGTTTGTGATTACTTGTCATTTCACACTGCCATAGGTGGAGGGCCTTGGGAGCTGGGAGCCCTCTTTTCTCTTCCTCTCTCAGCGACCCTCTCTCCACCTATGGGAAAATATAGTGTGAAAGCAGAGAAATTGATTCACATAGAAATAACCATAAAAGTTCCAGAAGGCTAGACAAACAACAGGACTAGTAATTTTAGTCTTCCAGTGATTATAGTCATTGTGATTCGGAAGAAACACCTCCCTTCCTGCCTCCATCAACTCCTCCCCTCTGCTACCCCCATTAGTGTCCTCACTATTTTTGTAAGGCCAATAATCTCTTAAAATGGAATTTCCTTCCTTTTAGGAATCAAGAATAAACATTTACTCTAAAGTCCACAACATGACCTGTTTTCCTGAATGACTCTTAGTCTTTAATAATAATCTCAGCCCTAGAGGGTGCTGGAAATTTATCCGGGTGGTTGAGTACAGGAGGTAGGATTACTCTCTCCGAAATTAGGAGTTGACTAACGGGACTAAATCTCAAGGCCCTCTCTCCTGTCTTTCACTCCAACCTACAAACAAGAATCATAGGGTTTGGGCGCCTGGGTGGCTCAGTCGTTAAGGGTCTGCCTTTGGCTCAGGTCATGATCCCAGCGTCCTGCTCGGCGGGAAGCCTGCTTCTCCCTCTCCCACTCTGCCTGCTTGTGTTCCCTTTCTCACTGTGTCTCTCTCTGTCAAATAAATAAATAAAATCTTAAAAAAAAAAAAAAGAATCATAGGGTTTTTTGTTTTTTTTTTTTAAGATTTTATTTATTTATTTGAGAGAGAGAATGAGAGATAGAGAGCACGAGAGGGAAGAGGGTGAGAGGGAGAAGCAGACTCCCTGCCGAACAGGGAGCCCGATGTGGGACTCGATCCCGGGATTCCAGGATCACGACCCGAGCTGAAGGCAGTCGCTTAACCGACTGAGCCACCCAGGCGCCCATAGGGTTTTATTTTATGTTATGTTATTATTATTTCTCCCCCTCCCCGAGAATCATAGGATTTTAGAATTGCAAGAGGGGCACCTGGGTGGCTCAGTTGGTTGAGCATCTGCCTTCAGCTGGGGTAATGATCCCAGGGTTCTGGGATCCAGACCTGCTTTGGGCACCCTGCTCAGCCAGGAGCCTGCTTCTCCCTCTCCTGCCCCCCACCCCCTGCCCATGTGCGCGCTCTCTCTCTCAAATAAATAAATAAAATCTTTAACAAAATAGAATTGCAAGGAATCTTTACAGATTCTGTAACATACCTCTTCATTTTACAGATGAAGAAGCTGAGGCTCATAAATCCTTATTGCAGTGAATGGCAGCCAGTAGGTACACAGTAACTATTTGCTTTTTTTGTTTCTGGCATCAGTTGTTCAAGATGACAAGTTCATACTAGAACTACAAGGTTCTCAATTTAAAAGCCATTTTTTTCCCCACTCTATCACGTGGTTGTATGCTTCTATTGAGTTTACTATAAAGCATTGTAACCATAAATTTTTATTTAACAGCTTTACTGAAATATAATTCACATACCACACAATTCAACTTTTTAAAGCATACAATTCAATGGCTTTTAAAGATTTTTTTATTTATTATTTGAGAAAGAGAGAGAGAGTGTGAGTGAGCAGGAGCAGGGTGGAGGGGCAGAGGGAGAGGGAGAAGCCAACTCCCTGCTGAGCAGGGAGCCCCATGCAGGGCTCAATCCCAGGACCCCAGGATCATGACCTGAGACACTCAGGGAACCCCTTGATGGCTTTTAGTATATTCAGAGTCATGTATCTATCAACAAATCAATTTTTATTTATTTATTTATTTTAAAGATTTTATTTATTTGAGAGAGAGAGAGAATGAGAGATAGAGAGCACAAGAGGGAAGAGGGTCAGAGGGAGAAGCAGACTCCCTGCTGAGCAGGGAGCCCGATGTGGGACTCAATCCTGGGACTCCAAGATCATGACCTGAGCCGAAGGCAGTCGCTTAACCAACTGAGCCACCCAGGCGCCCCAACAAATCAATTTTAGAACATTTTCATTACCCCCCAAAGAAACCTTATACTCATTAGCATCACTCATTTTCCCTCATTACCCCATCCAACTCGAGGCAGTCACAGATCTTTTTTTTTTTTTAAGATTTATTTGAGGGGCAGAGGGGCAGAGGGAGAGAGAGCGAACCTCAAGCAGACTCCCCAATGAGCACAGAGCTGAACCCAGGGATCAATCCCACCACCAGGAGATCATGACTTGAGCCAAAATCAAGAGTCAGATGCTTAACTGACTGAGCCACCCAGGCGCCCCAGACACTGTTCTTTCATATGTGGTCCTTTGCCACTGGTTTCTTTTACTTAGCATATTTTCAAGGTCCACCTATATTGTAGCATGTATTTCATTTCTTTTTATTGTTGAATGATAAATATTCCAAGATATGCATACACCATATTTTATTCATCTATTCAACATCTGATGGATATTTGGCTGGATTTTATTTTAAATATTTTTTTATTTGAGAGAGCGAGAATGAGAGAGAGAGAGAGCACATGAGAGGAGGAAGGGTCAGAGGGAGAAGCAGACTCCCTGCTGAGCAGGGAGCCCGATGTGGGACTCGATCCGGGACTCCAGGAGCACGACCTGAGCTGAAGGCAGTCGCTTAACCGACTAAGCCACCTAGGTGCCCCTGGATTTTATTTTAAACAATTAAATATGACCTCTGAGAGCTAGCAGAAGCTTAAAATCAAGACATAAATATATATTTCATATCTTTCTATATTGAATTTTTACCTAAAGAGGCATACTTATTATGAAGTTTTTATTATAATCGCATAGCTAAAATATCAACATTTTTCCCCTTAAATTTTTTTTTCTATTTTTTTTTAAGATTTTATTTATTTATTTGACAGAGAGAGACAGCGAGAGAGGGGACACAAGCAGGGGGAGTGTGAGAGGGAGAAGCAGGCGTCCCGCCGAGCAGGGAGCCCGATGCGGGGCCCGATCCCAGGCCCCTGGGATCACGACCTGAGCCGAAGGCAGATGCCCAATGACTGAGCCACCCAGGCGCCCCTCTTTTCCTTTTTAAAAGTAATCTCTGGGGGGGCGCCTTGGTCTGCCTTTGGCTCAGGTCCTGACCCTGGAGTCCTGGGATGGAGTCCCGCATCGGGCTCCCTGCTCAGCGGGGAGCTGGCTTCTCCCTCTGCCTGCCGCTCCCCGCTCCCCGTTTGTGCTCTCTCTCTGTCTCTGACAAATAAATAAATAAAATCTTAAAGGAAAAAAAAAAGTAATCTCTGTACTCAACATGGGGCTGGAACTCAGGAACCAGAGATCAAGAGCCTCATGCTCTACCGACTGAATCGGCCAAGCACCCCTCCCTTAAATTTTTTGATGTGTATGATAATATTGTGGAAAGACAAAATAAAGCCTTGCCCTAGATTTTCCTGCTCCTCTGACTCCCAGGAAAAGAGAGACATATCTATCTACCTACCTACTTGACAGCCCTCAGGAAGAGAAGCGGGAAGAGAAGAAAGAAAAGAGTCTAGAGCAAGTCTTGACCCAGACATATACACAAACAGTGTTAAGGGTGGGTACGGAGTGAGGTGAGAAGGAGGGACAGTACAGACCGCTGAGTCTTAGTGTTTTCAGTTTTGTCCTTCCGACTTTATAGGTTGGCCCATACTGTTTTTGTGGGTCTCCAGGTGGGTCCAGAGTGGAAGACTTTGGGGGACTAATTCATACTCGGTAGAAAGAACTCGAACTTGTAAACGAATCGAGGGTATTTGATCCTGGGAGTGGCCTATTCCTCACTAAACCTTCGTTTATCCAAGTCCTGCCTCCCCTTCCTTTTTAGAAGAGACCGGCCTCAATACGCCTGAGTCACCTGCCACGGGAAGAGAAGGGATTTTTGGGAGTGTCTCCCGCCCCATTTATAGACGTTAAAGGAGAAGACCGCAAAGCGATCCTCGACTCAGCCCGCCTGAGGCTTGGGTGTTGTGTCATTCTCCACACGTGATGCTCTCCCAGGCGGCGGAGACCTCGCGTATCATGGGACTTACTCACCCCAGAGACTCCACCCCTTTCCTCCTGTACTCCTCAACCCCTCACTTCCTCGCTCCGCCCCTCTTCAAGACTAGAGGAAAGTAGGGTGGCTGGACCCCGGAAATGCCACCCTCCCAAGTTGGACGGGAGAAGCACAGAAACTCAAGTGTTTGGGAAAGTAGAAGATGTGGCTTTAGTTTTATCCTTCTCCAGAACGCTTTACACTTCCTGTTTTAGGCTATCCTTACTCTCGTTATCCCCAAACAGTTCTATCGAGACCACCTTATAACTTAGGGAGACCTCGTCTTAGTTAAGGTTGCTTTCCCTCTCCGTTTCCCAGTTTTCTCGGAGCCCGAGATTCTTAATCTGAACTGGTTTGAGCCCCAGATCAGCCTCCTTCCCTTTCTAGCTGCGTGACCTTGAGTGAACTACAACTTTTCTGGGCCTACTTTCCTTGTTCGTGAAACGGCGGCCAAACGTCTACCACACCACGCCTGTCGCGAGGAACAAATGAGAAAGCCCTTTGTGAGCTGAAAAAGGCAAGAGAAATGTTAGCTATGTTAATTCTGGACGGCGAGTCACTCTTCCAGAACCCCTCCCTTTCCTTTGGGACCCGCCCTGCAAATCCTGCAGGGTGCTGACAGCTCTCGCCACCCTCCTCCAGCAGTCTTTCCCATTGGCGAAGGGGTCGGCCGCGCGGCGCGGACTGTTGACGCCACGGCGCCCCCTCCGCCGGCGCACGATGACGCATGGCCCCGCCCCCGGCCGCGCCTGGCCTCCCGCGGGGCCCCGCCCATCGGGCCGACGCGGCGCCGATCCCGCCCCGCGGGTGACGTGTGGCGCGCGCGGCCCGGCCGCCCCGGCAGTTGGTGCAGCGGCCGTTGGGCTGTGTGCGCTCACCCCACCCCTCCCCTCCTCGGGCCCGGACCCCCCACCCCGCCGGGCGCAGCCCCAACCCCAGCCCCAGCCCCAGCCGGGACCGTCCCGTGCGGGCCCGTGCCGCCCCCTCAGCCGGCGACGCCCTGGGCCGCCCGCCGGCCCGCCCGCCCGCCACCATGGAGCTGGAGGACGGTGTGGTGTACCAGGAGGAGCCCGGCGGCTCCGGGGCCGTGATGTCGGAGCGGGTGTCTGGCCTGGCCGGCTCCATCTACCGCGAGTTCGAGCGGCTCATCGGGCGCTACGACGAGGAGGTGGTCAAGGAGCTGATGCCACTGGTGGTGGCCGTGCTGGAGAACCTGGACTCGGTGTTCGCGCAGGACCAGGAGCACCAGGTGGAGCTGGAGCTGCTGCGGGACGACAACGAGCAGCTCATCACCCAGTACGAGCGGGAGAAGGCGCTGCGCAAGCACGCCGAGGAGGTGAGGGCCGGCCGGCGGGGAGGGCGGGGGCCGGGCCCAAGGGCAGGCCGGGGGTCGCGGCCCGGCCAGGGAGGGGCGCGCCGGGCCTCCCGGGGGCGGGCCTGAGGCCGAAGCCCCCCGGACCCACCCGGCGGTCGCGAGGTCCCCGGGAACCCCTAGCCGGCGTCGGAAGTCGAGGCAGTCTAGTGAGTATCCAGGAGAAGGAAGGGAGATGAGGAGGCAAGGCCCGGGGAGGAAGCCGCAGCTTAGCCTGAGGGCACCTGAGGTTGGCCCTGAGGGCGGAGATTTTAGGGTGGCCGGTACCCTGTGGTAGTTTAGGGAAGTTTCCGACCACCGTAGGATAGTCAGATGGCGGTTCAAACTTTTTCATGGTGTGTGTGTTGGGGGGGGCATTTAAACACTTCTGTCTTGGATATGTAACTTCCGCTGGTTCCAGTACCTTTCCAGGGGGTTGCTGCTTTGGGAAGTTAGAGATCTCCCTCTTTCGGTCAGTTTCTTCTTGACGTCTTAACCCTGTTAAGAAAGAGGTCTTATTTTATGTTTTTTGTGTCTTGGTTGAGACTTTGTCAACACTTAGATGTTGTATAGCAACACTCTGTAAATAGAGCGTACAATTTTATTTTATTGGTATCTCACACTAAAGCGTTCCTCCGTGTCAGGTGGTCACCTTGGACAGTTCCCTTTAAAAACCCTCAGTTTATTTTTAAAGAGGACTGCGGGCGGGGCGGGTTGAGGAGGTGTAGGTGACATTTGGCAGGCTTTTTCAGACTGCAGTTTACAGGTGCCCTTAACCCTAGCATCTCGGCAGTGACCTCGGTGCCCTCACCTCGGGTCTTTGAACCTTTTGGAGCTCTGGAGTGTAAATGATAGGCCCTGGACTTCTTGAGACAGTCAAGGATTTAAGCTTTCACGCTGTGTTGGCATTATTTTTGTGGAACTTATTAGTGCAGGTGAAGTGTTCATCTTTGTTTTCTGAGCATCTAGCACACCTAGCTGAGTACATGGTGATTAAAGGAAGCTAAATAAATTATTGAACCAACGACATATTCTCTTTGAAAAATGCTTGAAAAAAGATATTAGGATGTGAGATTTGTTTAGCAGCTCATTTCCTAACCCTAAATAGTACCCCCATTTAAACTTTGTTTTGTCACATATACCTTTGTACCAGGTCACATAGTTCTTTTTATTCTCTCTTTTTTTTTTCCTTAAAAATTGACTTTATGATTAACTACCAGGAGCAGACATTTTTTTTTTTTAAGTTTTTTTTTTTTTTTTTTAAGATTTTGTTCATTTACTTTTCAGAGAGAGAGAGAGGGAGGGAGAGAGCACAAGCAGGAAGAGTGGCAGGCAGAGAGAAAAGCAGGCTTCCCGCTGAGCAAGGAGCTGATGTGGGACTCGATCCCAGGACCTGGGATCATGACCCAAGCCGAAGGCAGACACTTAACCGACTGAGCCACCCAGGCATCCCTTTTTATTCTCTTTTTTAAGCTTGACTATAGTGATGATTTTTAGTTCTCATTTTGTGATCCATGTGTCTCAAAGGAATGGCATTGCATTTGCCAAAGAAACTTGACTTTATTTCAAGAATATTTCCAAGTATATAGGAAGGGAGGGATTGAAAAAAAAAACTCTAAAGATGGGATTGCAATTTCCAGTAGCTTATTAGCACTGTTTATAGAACAGAGGTCATGTACTACTTCTGAGATGGTATGCTGTATCTTCATCCTCATACAGGCCCGGGTCACACGTGCCAAGAAAAATACCTGCTACAGGTTGCAGAATCAGAAAATAAAACTGACTGGTGCGCCTGGGTGGCTCAGTCATTAAGTGTCTGCCTTTGACTCAGGTCATGATCCCAGGTCGTGATCTCCCTCTCCCACTCCCCCTGCTTGTGTTCCCTCTCTCATTGTGTCTCTCTCTGTCAAATAAATAAATAAAATCTTAAAAAAAAAAAAAGAAAAGAAAACTGACTAACTGCTATGCACCAGATTGTATATTAATTTCTTAAGTATATGACTTTTTAAATGACTTTTTTTGTTATATATACTTTTTCAAATCTGTCTGTAAGTTCTGTATAATGAAGTCTTTGCGCAGAGCCATGACCTGAGACTAGAGAACCTTGACGAAATGCTAGATGAGCCAATTCCCAGACCACAAACATAAAACTACCTTGTTACCACTTTTCATGTAAGATGATAAATCAAGTTTTACGCCATCTCCAGAAATTCAGTCTTTCTTAGGCCAATATGCACAAGTGAATTCTGTGTTTAATTTTCTGGGAGTGCTCCAATTGTGGCCTTTTAATACAGAGCCTGAGTCTGCTATTATAGCAAAAGTGCCTCAGGGTATTTACAGCAAAAGTACTTGAAAGCCTAGAAATTGTCCATCACCAGAAAGTGTAAAGTAAATTCTGAGCACCTTTGTGGAAGTTTAGGAGGATATATAAATGGTGTGAAAGTTTTAGGGGGTGTGAAGTGCTATAATACTCTTGCTTACAGGAGTTCTTTTTTTTTTTTTTAAAGATTTTATTTATTTATTTGAGAGAAGAGATGCAGTGAGAGAGGGAACACAAGCAGGGGCAGCAGGAGAGGGAGGAGGAGAAGGTCTCCCCACCGCCCCAGCAGGGAGCCCGATGCAGCACTTGATCCCCAGACCCTGAAATCATGACCCGAGATGACTGAGCCACCCAGGCACCCCTGGATGTGATTATTAAAAAAAAAAACAAATCCACAGCTTTCCTGATAAGCAGGCAAATGAGTTTAAGAACCCTTTTCTTAGGAATTTAGTTCCAAGTGATTCTGTGGGCTTTGTTTCTAATCACCATTATTTTCAAAGTGAGAGTTATTTAGCATGATTCAGTGGACAGAGATTTCACTTAAAAATGAAGCCGTACCCTCTTCATCTTCCCTTTCTTCCCACCTTGCACTACAGAAGCATATCTGTCAAAATTTATTCGACAGAGAGAGATAGCGAGAGCAGGAACACAAGCGGGGGGAGCAGCAGAGGGAGAGGGAGAAGCAGGCTTCCCGCTGAGCAGGGAGCCCGATGCGGGGCTCGATCCTAGGACCCTGGGACCATGACCTGAGCCGAAGGCAGACTCCTAACGACTGAGCCACCCAGGTGCCCTGGAAGGCTGATTATAGATAGATTATGATCAGTTTCGGGGAGTATGCTCAGTAAGGAGTCTGCTTCTCCTTCTCACCCTCCCTCTGTGCTCTCCCTCTCTCAAATAAATAAATTAATTAAATTAAATTAAACTTTTAACATAAAAAAAGATTATGATCATTTTCAAATGCTAATCAAGAAATGCTAATCAAGAAATCTATCACCCTGTTGCTTGCTACTCTCCCCTTTGGACTCCCTGCTCAATCCATTTATCTTTCCATTCCTTACCTAAGTCTGTCTTTTTTTTTTTTTTTTTTTTAAGATTTTTATTTATTTATTTGACAGAGAGAGACACAGTGAGAGAGGGAATGCAAGCAGGGGGCATGGTAGAGGGAGAAGCAGGGAGCCCAATGTGGGGCTCGATCCTAGGACCCTGGGATCATGACCCGAGCCCAAGGCAGATGCCCAATAACTGAGCCACCCAGGTGCCCCTCCTTAACTAAGTCTTGTGTGGTGCCTTTGCCCACGCAGGTCCCTTGGCCTAGAATGCTTTCCCCTCAGAGCTTCACCCTGGTTAGCTTCTCACTTTTGGCTCAGCTTAAATTTCATTTCTTCCACTAGACTTTACCTGTCTACGCGATCCAGACTTACAAGCCCTATGAATCTATGAATAATTTATTTGTAAATCAGTGTTTCTTTTTCCTCCAAGATTTTATTCAAATTCAAATTAGTTAACATATAGTGTAGTATTAGTTTTAGGAGAGTGGTTTTTTTTCCTAAGATTTTATTTGTAGGCAATCTCTATACCCAATGTGGGGCTCGAACTCACAACCCTGAGATCAAGAGTTGCATGTTCTACTGACTGAGCCAGCCAGGCACCCCTCAGTGATTTTTTTTTTTTCCAATCAATGATTTTTAAAAACAAATGTCTGTCTATACAGTGATCTGGAGAGAGACGTTATTTTTGGGAAGAGTATGTTTTTTGTTTTTGTTTATGCCAGTTCTGATTCTTTTAAAATGGACGTGATTATTTATTTATTTATTTTAAAAGATTTATTTATTTATTTGAGAGAAGAGATGCAGTGAGAGAGGGAACACAAGCAGGGGCAGCAGGAGAGGGAGGAGGAGAAGGTCTCCCCACCGCCCCAGCAGGGAGCCCGATGCAGCACTTGATCCCCAGACCCTGAAATCATGACCCGAGATGACTGAGCCACCCAGGCACCCCTGGATGTGATTATTAAAAAAAAAAACAAATCCACAGCTTTCCTGATAAGCAGGCAAATGAGTTTAAGAACCCTTTTCTTAGGAATTTAGTTCCAAGTGATTCTGTGGGCTTTGTTTCTAATCACCATTATTTTCAAAGTGAGAGTTATTTAGCATGATTCAGTGGACAGAGATTTCACTTAAAAATGAAGCCGTACCCTCTTCATCTTCCCTTTCTTCCCACCTTGCACTACAGAAGCATATCTGTCAAATAAATAAATAAAATCTTTTTTTTTTAAGATTTTATTTATTTATTCACGAAACACAGGGAGAGAGAGAGAGAGACGCAGAGGCAGAGAGAAGCAGGCTCCCCGCTGAGCAGGGAGCCCGATGCAGGACTCGATCCCAGGACCCCGGGATCATGACCCGAGCCGAAAGCAGACGCCCAACCATCTGTGCCACCCAGACGCCCATAAATAAATAAAATCTTAAAAAAAAAAAAAAAAAAGTTTTGTGGGCAGGAAAGCAGGCTTTGATATTCAGTGTTATTTATTAATGTTATAGTTCTCATTCATAAAAATATTAAATTTTTTTTTAAAGATTTTATTTATTTGTCAGAGAGAGAGATTGCACAAGCAGGGGGAGCGGCAGGGAGAGGGAGAAGCAGACTCCCTGCTGAGCAGGGAGCCTGA